AAGAAATGACAGATGGTTAAGGCAAAAGAGAGCCCAAGGAAACCCGCCCTATCTCCATCAGCACTGATGATATAGGTGAAAGTGGACGAGAGTGATTCACTTAGTAAGTAGGATCTACACTGACAGTTGGTGGAATATTCAAGAGAAAAGTGAAGTCAGATATCTACCTTACACAGGTATCAAAATAAATTTCAGATGAACTAAAATGTTAATATAAAAAATGAATTAAAATAGAAAATATTTTAAGATATTTTAATGGGATGGATATTTTAAGGGCTTATTGAGCAAGATAGATGGTCTAGGACACTGAAAAGCTGACTTCTCAGGCCTGGGGAGGTGGCGGGGTCTGGTCAGAGGGACTCCAAGGGTACATACAGGCCTAAGACCTGAGGGTGGGATTTGTAGCGGCCATGACTGCCACACACTACAGAATCCCCAGCAGGCTGCACTCTAGGTAAACACAGGACACACAAACTCCATTGCACAGTTGAAAGAAGAAAACCAGCTTTATCTCTGACCAGTTTTCTGGGAACGAAACAAAACAAAAGCTCTCCAAAGAAACTGAAAGCTCAAATTTATGCAATTGAATACAAATTAACACTATCTTTTGTCTTTGTCTTTGTTTTTTGGGGGTGCTACTTTACTACTGAGCTACATCCCAAACCCCAGCACAATCTTTTGGATAAGAAAAGTCCCAAGCCAATGTGTTTTTCTGTTGGGTCTTTGGATTTTTTTTAAGTGCATACATATATGGCTCTCAAAACAATTTTTTAAATGTTCACTAGGGATGAGCTTCCCAAAATACTACAAATCACAGGAGAAAATAATCTTCAATGTGAACAGTCAAGATCTCAAGAAAGGTGGATACTTGCCATCCTTCAAAACTTCAGATAAAAGTCCTTTCAGCTGAAGAATATCTAGTAAGCATGTTTTAAGTTGTCAAAGATGATTAAAGATGGTATGAAAACCGTATTGAAAGAAAAGAACATTATAAAAACAAATTAGACAGATTGGAAAAAGTATAAATCGAACTTTAAAAACATTAAATGTATAGCAATGGAAATAAAACCTCAAAGAATAAATTAAGCCACAGATGAATCCCAGGTAAAAGGAGTGTTAAAAAGTTGGAAGAGAGTTCTGGGTTAATTACCCAGAATGAATTATAGGGAGTTACAAAATGGAAAATGTGAAAGAGTGGATTAGAGAGCTGGAAGATATGATGGGAAAATCCAACACACAGTTAATTGGCGTTCCAAGAAAAGATGAGATGGGAGGGTGGGGAGAGGAGATATTTAGAGCAAAAATGGCCAAGAATGTTCCAGTATATATTGACGCATATCCCATTTTTCATGAAGCTTTACCATGTCTCCTATGTTCCTGTAAGTACTGGGGCAAAAGCAGTGAACCAAAGGGATGGGGGAGAAAACTTTGTTTTTATGTCACGTACTTTCAAAAAGAAATGAAATATATTTTTAAGTACAGTATAGCATGTATTATTAAGCATTTGCTGTAGTAACAAACACTTCTCAAATCCCAGTGGCTTACAAGTAAATGATATTTACTTGCTTTTCACATTATTTGAGGATTTCAGGTCACCTAAGCTCTACCCCAGACTTCTGGGTTGGCTACAGGTCTAGTCCATGTACTCAAGGGCACAGGGTGAAGGAGGAAGCCCTATCTGGGACCTACTTTTGCAGTGGTGAAGACCAAAAATGGGAAAACAGGTGATTACACTGCTGTGTTCAAAGCTTCTGTGTAGACATGGTATGGGTCATGTCTGCTCACGTCCCATCAGTGAAAAGCACATACCCAAACCTGACAATTGTATAGGCTAGAGGCAAGTGTGGCAAGCTTGGAGATGCACAATCCTCATTACAGGGGGATAAGTAATCACAAACAAATATAGAACTTACCAACATCTGTTCCATGGTGGCCATTGCTATGGAGGACAAAGAATGGGCGGGGAATTATTAGGGATTTATAATTTTAGATGAGCAGGTTGAGGCTGACACAAAAACAGAGTACCCTTGAAGGATGTCAGGGAGTGGCACATGCAGATGTCTCGGAGAAGAACAGCCAATGCCAAGGCACCAAAGTGTTTTAAGGAGCAGCAAAGAGGCCATGGGGCTGTCACAAAGGGGCTGAGGTAAGAGGCCCCAGTGTGGACACATGGCCACTGCAGGGCTGGGTTTTCACTTGTGCATGGAAAACCATTTGAGGGTTTTGGGTGAAGGAACAAAGATACCTGCTTCAAAGAGTCCAGACTCTGGTAATAACCAGGTAGGAAATGATGGAGGCTCAGCGGAGGCAGAGGTGAATACAAATGACTGGACTCTGGATGCAGGTTAAATATGATTTTCTAAAACTGAATATGGGGTACACATCAAAGAGAGGGGTCGGCCACAATGCTTAGATTGGGGGCCTGGAGAATTGGAAGGATCACGTTGCCATTGACTACGACAAGATGGAGCATGAGCAGGCGAACTCATCTGAAACTCGGGGAGAGATGCAGACCACAGATGCTAATTGGGGAGTCCTCACTGTATGATAGACCAGGGATGACAAACTTTCTCTGTAAAGGGCCAGGTAGTAAATATCTTCAGTGTTGTAGACCACATATGATCTCCCGTGCATATTATTAAGTTAGAAAGCATGTGTAGCTGACAGTGACAAGCTGCACTGCATTTGGTTCATGGGCTACAGGTGAACACACCTGGCTGAAAAGGATGTTCAAGGTCATAAATGTGGATGAAATCACAAGGAAGTGAATGCAAACAGGACAGACAGGAGATCCTTGTAGTGGTGCCCAGGATACTCTGAAGTTAAAGAGTTAAGGAGATGATGAATGAACAATAAATAGACTGAGAAGGAAGAATTGACATGGCAGGAAGCAGTAGCATTGCAGTGAGGGAAGATTTCAGTCTAGCAGGCCTAGAGCAACTGATGGACCAGGTAAGAGAGGGTCGGAGAGCTGAGCATGTGGTCTAGCAACACGGAGGTAATCGGTGACTCCCTAGTTCCAATGTGTCCAAGGAAGGATGGGACAAGTGGGCAACTGTACACAAGTCTCTTAAGGAGTTTTGCTGTGAAGGGGGAGAGTTGCAGGCTGACGGGAAAGTCCAGTGTGGAAACACGAAAGCTGATTAAGTGGAAGAGCAGTTGGAAAGGTGTCTTTGAGCAGCAGAAGAGGTGGGAGCTGTGTACAGTGATGCAGAAGGGGCCTGACAGTCCCTCCAAAGTCAGAAGAGGAAGAAGTGGATATGGGCAGAGTCACAGGGAAAGGAGTCGATGTGGGGGGAGGACCCAGGGGAGTTCTCTACTAACTGCTTCTGTTTTCAAAAAACACGACTCCCAAGGAAGACAAATGCAAATAAATCCGTGCTGCAATGCTCATAGAGAAAGTGCAATGTTAAAAAAAAATCTTAAAAACAATCTAAATAACATATCAGACTCAGCTTCCCATAACAACATGAGAAGCCAGTTAACAATGGAATAGCTTCAACCTGAGATACTCAATTAAGCATTCATAAGGAGTGAGGGCAACGGCTGACAGTTTTTAGACAAAGATTCAGAGTTTATCTCTCTCTGACTCAGACTATAACAGACACTAACAGACTTCATGAAGAAAGAAGAGACCCCAAGAAGGAAGAAGTAGGAGGCAAAAGGAATGATGATCACACTAAGCAGGTGTTGGCGTAATGCACACTAAAACAGTAATGGTAATAATAATATTGGAAGCCTCGGAAACACAGTGGAGATAAAATACTAGGGCTCTGTACCAGAAACAGGTAGGGATGACCAAAATTAAAGTGAGCTATGAGTCTAGATTTTTTTGAAAGACGGTGAGGATACTAATAAGCTTATATTTTTCTTCGGTCAACTATGCCTGTTACAAATGCAAGTGTTGATGGTGTAGCAAGTGCGTATTCACATGGAAAAGACAATTTGGACCCTCTCTTGCACCATACAAAAAGCAATCTCCAAATTGACAATATGTAGAAATACAAGAGCTAAAACTATAAAACTCTTAGAAAAAACACAGGAGTAATTCTTGGTGAACTTCAGCAAGGCAAATCTTCTTGACAAATGGTAATCAAAAGCACATGTGACAAAAAATAAAGAAATTGCATATTACCAAAACGAAAATCTTTTGTGCTACAAATGAAAAGGGAACAAAGTAGGGATACCTGATACAACATGGACAAATCTCAAAAACATTAGATTAGGTGAAAGAAGTCAGTCTCAAAAACACCGATTGCATTATGCCATTTATATGAAATGTCCAGCACAGTCAAATCCATACAGTCAGAAAATAAATCAGTGGTTTTCAAGGACAGAAGTGACAGTGGCTCTAGGTTTCTTGTGGGGTGATAAAAATATTGTCAACCCGGACGGTGGTGATGGCTGTGTCAGCCTGTGAATATGCTAAAAACAACTGCTTTGTATGCATTACACAGAAATTGTATATCATGTGAATTGCGTCTTAACAATGCTGTTAAAATGTTTCAAGGTTAACTCCTAAAAGTAGAAATAGATCATCTGTGTAACTTCTAAGGCAGCAGAGGTTAAGAGGCACTAACAAAAACAGATCCAATTCAAGAGATGGTGGGAAAGAAAGGGGATGGAAAATCAAAAGTACAATAGGAGGGTGTAAATAAATGTTTAAATAAATTCCAATAACTACATTCAGTATGATACCATTTCATGTACTTTTAAAGAACAAATACTATCATCTTTTGTTAGAAATATCCATGAGTGATAAAAGTATAGAAACATCCATCCACTTAAATATTAGGGGATGAACGGAGATGAATAGGAAATGGAGGAGCAGGCTTCAGCTGTGTCTTCACACATATTTTCTTTCTTTATTAAAAGATCACACAGGGCCGGGGATTTAGCTCAGTGGTTCAGCCGCCTGCCTCGCAAGTGTAAGGTCCCCAGTTCAATCCCCAGTACCGCCCCCCAAAAAAATCACACACACACCGACAATTTATATTTATTAAATCTGGGTAAATACATTCCCAGGTGTCTATTTTTTCTGCACAATTTGTATTTAAAATACATCTTAATGAAAGAACAACAAAATAGTATTGGCAAGAATCTGGAGGAAAGGTGTTCTTCCCTGTGGATAAGCCAGTGGACCTTTGGAGAGGGACTTCTGACCATATGCAGTTGAAGTTTTGAAAACATACACATTCTTTGGAGAAGCAATAATTTCTAAGAACCAAGGTGTGTGCACAAATAGTGAACTACACAGATGTTTCTATAGTTCTGTGCACAAACACAGGCAAATACAAACACACACACTAAAAATGGCCCACACATACAAGGGTCATCCCATAGGACTCTGTCACTTAGTGACATGACAGCAGCTTGTTTTGTGTAAATACCCTCAGTGATGTTCACACAATGATGAAATCCTCTAAGGATATGTTTCTCAGAACATGTCACTGTTAAAAGCTAGGCTTCACTGTAAGTACAGAGAGATAGAATGCCCATTAGTTAGACATGGGTACAATATTCAAAATAATTAAACATTTAATGCAAATAATTACTTAGAGAAATAAAAGGCAATCTTTGGCTTCTGGGGATCTGATAAAACTTCCACATCCTCTCCAGTTATGTGTAACACACAAATTTGGAAACAATTCCAAGGGGGGCTCCAGAGTACTTCAAATTCACTGTGTGGGGTGGAGGGGTGTATACTAGGATTTGAACCCAGGCCCTTTGCGATGAGCTATACCCAGCCTATCTTTTTTCTTTCCCTTTGCATTCTCTGTAAATTGTCCAGACTGGGAGCGAACTTGCAATCCTCCTTCCTCAGCCCCCAGAGTGCTGGGATTTCAGGCATGCGCCACTATGTCTGGGTTCACGTCCTTTTCTAGGGCAGAAAAAAACACCAAATCAAACTTCTAGTCCTCCTCCAGGAGCCCCGTCCTCTAGGCCCACCCTCTCCCCTACCAGCCTCAGGCGAACACCCTTGCTTAGGAACTGAGACCAATCTATACCCCCGTGACTCGTTACTCTGCGTCGTGACTGGCCTCTGTTTTCTCTTCCCCACCTCTGAGAACAGGGTGCACCACTCAGCTGGCTTCCCTGCCCCAGCACAGCACAGGCACAAAGAAACATTGGTTGACCAGCTGACTGAGGAGGGTGACATTGCCAGGTGTTGGGTCTGGATATTTCCCACATACTCCCCAGCCCATGATGCATGTCCACTGCTTCCCTGACCAGGTTGCACACACGCCCCCACCTTAGCAGACTGTCTTTTGGAAATACACGAGATTTCTAATGCAGCTCTATCTCCAAGAATGAGGCACGACAGAGATGCCATGCAAATTGCAATTCAGGTGCAGAAAAAGCAAGGCTCCTACTTCCTACCCGACTCAGCAGCCTAAGGCCCAGCCCTGGCCCAGCTGTAGCAATGGCTTAAGACAGTCAAATTAGCAGCCCGTTGTTTTCATTCCGGAGGACAAGCTTTCCAATCTTTTCTGAAGGTATTTCCCATCGTCTCCCAGCCCGTTATTCCCTATTTTCATCAAGTGGAGCCCTTGAATACTTTTCCCTGCCAGCTATTCAAGAGGCTGTTCCCCCTGGAGCTGTGACACAGAACCTATTAATGAGCAAACAGAATGAACTGGCTCTCTCTCCTCATCGTTAAATTCCTCTGCCACCGATTTCTCAAACACTTCCCTTTAGGGTTTTCCTGCGGAGTCCCATTCATTTAGAGGAAATGTGGAAAATTGTTTAATGTTTCTTGTTGTAAGCAAATGGTGGCAAATGCTGATTCCATGTGGTGAGTAAAATGCCCTTCTCCTGCCCGGCTTCCAAACCCATCTGGTAGCCCTGGCAAAACCTGCACATCTCTCCTCATACACGAGACTCTTGACATCCTCACAGCATCTATAGAAATCTTTAATGCTATTAACTCCCCCTTTCCTTGCCTCTGTTTCCCCAACTGTGGAACGGTGAAAGTATCTCAGGTCTTTACATAATTAATTCACCCATTCAACCAGATACATCCCCTTGCATCTGCCCTGGACTGTAAACTGCTGCAAGGGCTAGAGCAAACAGGGAAGACGTCTTTTCATTTTAGATTCAAAAGAAAGACTGAGAAATGTCATCAGTAGAACACTCTGAGCTCTAGATGAGATAGTGGGATTAGAGAAGTGTAAAATATTTCTGTAACCCTAGAACTTGGGAGGCTGAGGCAGGAGGATTGCTGTAAACTCAAGGCCAGCCTGGGCTAGAAAGCAAGACCCTGTCTCAAAACAAAAACAAAAATGAAGAGAGAGAGAAAGAGAGAGAGAGAGATAAAGGGAAAAAGAGGGAGAGAGAAATTTGGGTCTGCTTGCTGCCATGGAGGGGAAAGAAAAAAACTGGGGTGATTATAGTGGTGCCTCAGTTCATGAACTTAATTTTTTCTATGATTTTGGCAAAGATGGCCACGGCTGTGTTTGTCATCTGATGCACGGTTTGCGAGCAAGAACGAAATTTTGCCAAATGCTTGTGTTTGTGAACCAAATTGTGAATCGAGGTACCACCATACTCAGAGAAAAGGGTAAGTGTATCCCATCCTGCTTTATGAAATATAAAATACCGGAAGTATATCACTTTTTACACTTCCTCCTCTAATACATTTCAGGGAGCGGGGCTTTAGGGAGCCCCCATTAAGGGGAATGGGTGATTGTGCTTAGGAGAAAGGAAAAATGGGAAAGGAACCCTTCTCAAGCCCACATTCTTTCAGAAAGGGAAGCAGGGACAGCCCTGAGACAAAGTCACTTCTGGCTTGTTGTGGCTTTTATTTTTTAAACTGGGAATTGAACCTCGGGCCTTCACACTGAACTACTTGCCCAGCACTTTTTATTTTTTATTTTGAGACAGGGTCTTGCTGAGTTGTTAATGCTCCATTGTTGAGTGTTGGTGTGTCCTTCCTGTAGACAGTGTAAGGGCTTAGAAGAAACAGTTGGTCCTCAAGTTACCATGTGCTTGAGTGTGAAAACCTCATTTTGTTTCTCCATTCATCTGCTCAGGGGTATTTGGATTATTTACACCTTTTGGCTTCTGTGAATAATACTGTTATGAACGTTGGTGTACTGAAAGAAAAAGAAATATTAATACCCGCCTACATTAAGCAGAATTGAAGAGATAAATCAACTTCTGAACAATAATCCCATGATGCTCCTCAACGCCAAATATGGCGGCCACTCAGAACAGAAAAGAGCTTTCCAGGGAGATATGTGGACACCATCCTAATTAGCTGTGTGGTCTTTTGGATTGAGTTTCCTGACCTCTAAAATAAAGAAATGGATCCGGTGACTTCTGAGAAGGTTTATAGCTCAAATGTTCCCACATTCTCTATCTTAGATTGATTTCCTCAGTTCCTGTGGACAAGTGTATTCTGCTCACCCACTTTGTTGGTGTTTCAGCATGCATTTGCGTGAGCTGGCAGTTTATGGGTGTTCTGCTCTGACTCTGAAGGAATTCCCAAACAGAACACTGCGCCCCTGATCTCCATACATAGGCTAGGGCTACCGAGTCACTGCCTCCCCACTTGCATTACTTTCTACATTGATCACAGTCCTCTACAAAAACAGAATTCATGGAACATATACTGTATTTATAATCACTCAAATGGGCTTATTGGGTAGCTTACAAGATCAGAGGTGGGAATTCACAATGGCCCTCTGCAAGCTAGAGAACCAGATGATCCAGTCGCTAGCTGCTCAGTCCAAGAAGCTGGAAGCTGCAGAACAAGAGGGACCAAGGCTGCAGCGCCAGTCTGAGACTGAAGGCCTGGAAGCTCCTGAGAGCAGCTGGTGTACTGACCTATATGCCAGTCATCTCTGGAAATGCCTCACAGACACACCCAGAAGTGTGTTCTACTAATTGCTAGGCATTTCATAATCCAGCCAGGTAGACATAAAGTGATTGACAGTCACACTTCCTCTGTTTCCGCAGGACTCACTTAGCTTCTCAAACTGGACTGTCCCCCTCTGGAGAAATCTCTCTTTCTCCCAGCACTGGCGTCACTCCCACCTCAGGACCTCTCGTGCTTCCTCATTCTACTCATTTGCAAACTGGGGACACTGGGCTATTCCTGTGTCCTTGGCTGCAACCCTCTGGAATTCCAAGGCCCAGGGCAAAGAGACAGACTTGGTTGAAGGAAAGGAGCACCAGCAGGACAAGGAACAAATGCAAACAACACTCTCCTCGCCTGCCTTCATTTTCCAACGCACACTTTCTACCCAGCTGAGTTCCAGCCCAACTCCTTGAGCCTCCTTCAGCTAATGGGCAATGGACAAATGCCATCACTTACAGGTCGGCCTTTAAGACGACTCGCCGGGTATAACTTCTGAGGAACAGTCTTGCCCTTTAGATCGCAAGTATAGCTTCCCTGCTCTTTATTAATCTGACTCTGCTTGGTTTACCTGATGTTTGTGGCTGAATTGTTATCCTGCAGCAAATGTCTCAACGGAGCTCATGGACGTACAGCGTGGCGTTTTAGCTTAGGAGTGGGTGTGGGTGTGGGTGTGGGTGTGGGTGTGTTCTCTCCCATGACTTCTTAATTCTGCTCTTGGTTCTCACTTTTTTAAGGAAAAAAGAAAAAGAAAGTAAACTCAATGCAATTTTTATATCAGCAAAAATAAAGCTCCTCTGGTGCCCTTCCTCCTTTCCCCTATCTGCAGCTACATTATTGCCATATACTTACTCATTACTCATCCTGACTGATTCAGTTTGCTCAGATTTCAACCTCATCGCTAATGTAGGTGCTGACACATATAACATTTCCCCTGAAAATATGACTACAGGTGTGTTTTAGTAAGAAGAACAGAGAAGTGATAAGTTTTGCTTTTCTGATTATTTTTCAGGAAACATCCATTAACCTATATCTGGAATTCTTTACAATATCAGTGTCAATAATCACCTTTCTTGGACTTCTTTACAAGGAACTCTGAAGCCTAGAAGAAAAATACACACTAACTAGGCCCTGCCTCAGACTTACTAATTTGGAATCTTGGGGACAGCTCCAGGGCATTGTACACAACCGGCCCTCCATAACTGTGTGCTCTGCATCTGTAAATTTTAAAAATTGCTGATCAAAAATATTCAGAAAAAAATTCATTGGTACTGAGTATGTACAGATATTTTGCTTGTCATCATTCCCTAAACAGTACAGTATAACAATTATTTACATAACATTTACACTGTTAGGAGTTATAAGTCATCTAGAGATAATTTGATGCATAAGGGGGGTATGTGCATATTATAGGCAAATATGATGCCATTTTATATAAAGGATTGGAAGATCTGTCTTCAGGGGGTCCTGGAAATAATCCCCTGAAGATACTGAGGGATGATTGTACTTTTCATGTTTTCAGAGTGAATTCTGGTTCCCACTCTGGGCTGAGGACCAGCAACAGAGCAGAAGTGCATATAATTAGATACAAGAGACTTTATATAGAATAATATGAACATCGTCTTTTAATTTCTCACCCAAAAAACACTGAGACATGGTTTGTGGACTTGGTACACTCTCACTCTTTCATTCACCAACTGTCTACTCAAGAGGACTTTCCTGAGCACATGCCCGTGCTGCAAAATATCACAAAGGTATATGAGACCATTAGGCAGACTATACCTCTAGGAAAGAGGCAAGTCATACAGAGTTAGCCATAGCACAAGAAATGTCTTGGCTGTAGGTTTCACAGAGGCTTTGTGAAGGAGATGGTCTTTGGGAAGTTTCAACAAGCAGAGATGGAAAGAGGCAGTCCAGGGAGAGAACCACTTGAGCAAAGATTCAGAATGTGCGAGGCCACTATTTCCTATATCTATGAATTCGACTCTTTCAGACACCACATTTAATTGGAATCATACAGTAAATATTTTTTGTAACTGGCTTATTTGACATACTATAATATCCTCAAAAGTCACCCAGTTGTGGCATGTGACAGGAATTCCTTACCCTTAAGGTTACTTATTGTTTCATTGTTTGTATATGCACCATTTTATTTCTTCATCTATGAACATTTGAGTTGCTTTCATTTCTTGGCTATCAGGGAAAAATGTTGCTATGAACATACTTGAGAAAGTATTTCTTGAAGGCTCTGATTCCAATTGTTTTAGATACATACTAAGAAATGGGATTGCTGAATTATACTTATTTTTAAGGAGCCATCATACATTATTCTATAGCAGTCATACCATTTCACACCACTACCAATAATACGCAAGAGTTCTAATTTCTCCCTCTTTCTATCAACATTTGTTATTTTCTGGAGTTTTTTAAAATAGTAAACTCCTAATGAATGTGAGGTATTATCTCATTATTTTTATTTCCATTTATCTGACGACTGGTGATACTGAGCATATATTTATATGCCTGTTAGCCATTTGTATCTCATCCTTGGAGCAATGCTATTTTCAAATCCATTGTTCAGTTTTTAATTGAGTAATTTTTGTTGTGGAATTTTACTTGATATATTCTAATCAGATGTATGACTTACAAATATTTTCTCCTATTTTGTGTGTTGCCTGTTCACTCTGTTGATTGTGCCCTTTGCTAAACAAAAGCTCTTAGTTTGATGTAGTCCCATTTGTCTATTTTTGCTTTTGAGCCTGTGTTTTTTTAATATCTAAAAGATCATTGCCTAATCCAATGTTGTGAAGATCTACTATATTTTCTTCTAGGAGTTGGACAGTTGTGGGTCTTATTTTCAGGTCTTTTGCCATTTTGAAAGGTGGATATCCTGGTTTCCCAAGACCATTATTGGAGAAACTATACTTCCTCCAATTATCTCAGCATCATTTTAAAAATCATTTGACTATATATGTTCAAGTTTGAGGACTCTATTGTATTTTATTGATCTTTATATCTCTCTTTATGTCCATTAAAAACTTTGTATTACTGAGGTTTTGTAATATACTTTGAATTCAGGAAGTGTAAGTCCTCCAAATTTGTTCTTTATCAAAATATTTTTTTACTAATTGAGGCCCCTTGCAATTCATATGAATTATAGGATAATTTTTTCTATTTCTCCCAAAAATGTTACTGGGGTTTTTATAAGGATTTGTTGAATTTGTAAATTATTTTGGTATAGTGACATCTTAACAATATAAAGTGTTCCAATCCATGAACATGGGATGTTCTCCATATGTCTCTATCTTCCTTCATTTCTGTCAGCAATGTTTTGTAGTTTTCAATGCATTAATCTTCATTTATGCTTATTCTTATTTTTTATTCTTAGTGATAATATTATAAATGGAAATCTTTTATTTTAATTTGCCATTATTCATTGCTAGCATATAGGAACATGATGCATTTTTGTGTGCAGTTTTTGCATCCTTTTCAAATTTGCTGAACTTATTTAGTATTTCAAATGGATTTGCTGTGGAACCTTTAGAGTCTTTTGCATATAAAATCATTTTACCTGTGAAAAGAGGTAATTTTAATTCTTCTTTTCCAATTTGGATATTTCTTCTTATTTTTATTGCCTAATTACTCTGACAAGGATTCCCAATGCTATGCTGAATAAAAATGGAAGAGTAGGCATCCTTGCTTTGTTCTTGGATTTAGAAGTAAAGCCACAGTCTTTCATCATTGAGTACAATGTTAGTGGTAGATTTTTTTTATATATGATTTTTATGAAGTGAGATAGTTTCCTTCAATTTCTAGCTTTTGTTTTCAGAGTTTTCATTTATATGATTTTTATGATTTTTATGATTAAAAGGTCCTAAAACATGTTAAATACTTTTTCTGCTTAGATAATTGTGCTGTTTTTATCCTTATTTTGTTAAAGTTGTGTATTTTATTAGTTGAGTTTTATTTATTTAATTCTTTTGCATTCCCCCTTGGCCACAGTGGATAATCTCTTTAATGTGCTATTTAATTCAATTTGGTACTATCTTCTTCAAATAAGCTCTCTTATCCTGTCATTCTCTTTCCTCATCCTGAAACTTCCATAATGAGTTTATTGAACAGCTTGGCAGTGTTCCTTCCATAAGTTCCTTAAGCTCTGTTAGTTTTCTTCATTCTTTTTTCTTTTTTGTTCTTCTGACATAATGATTTCAGTTTTCCTATTTTCAAGTTCATGAGTCTTTTTTTTTTCTGAGAAAGTCTGTTGTTGAGCCTTTTTAGTAGTATTTTCAGTTCAGTTATTGTGTTTCTTAACTCCAGAACTTCCATTTGCTTTCTTTCTAATAGTATCTATCTCTTTGATGGTATTCTCATTTTATTCATGTGTCAATTATGATGTCACTGTTTTCTGTGTTTTCTTTTAATTCATTGAGCATCTGTATAACAATTATTTTAAATTATTTGTCAGCCAGTTTATAGATTTGCATTTCTTCAAGTCAGTTTCTGTAGTTTTATTATTGTCTCCTGATCGGGCCATGTTTCTCTGTTTCATTTGACTTGTAATTTGTTTCTGTAGATGATAACGCTGTTGTCAAAACTTGGGCATTTGAAAAAAATAACCTCGTTTCCCAGACATTTGGACTACTTTCATGCAGAAGAAGATTTTCATTGACCAGTCCACCCAGCTATAGATTCTAGGACCTCTCAAACCCCTTTCTGATGACGAGTCTTCTCTGAGTATGTGTACTTTTATTTCTCTCACATTTCCTTAGCAGTTTGTCTCTGCTTCTTCTCTGAAGCCTATAATCTCTTGTCATTCTGGCACCTGACTCTAGAACTGCAGTTCACAGCTGGAACAGAGGTTAGGAAGAACCTTGAAGACATCAGTGTAGGAAAAGATTTTATGAACAAAACCTCAGTTTCCCGTGAACTAGCACAAACAATCAACAAGTGGGATCTCTTCTTATTAAAAAGCTTCTGCACAGCAAGAGAAACCACCAACAGTGTGAAGAGACAACCCACAATGTGGGAAAAAATTTTCACCTGCTGTTCCTCAGACAAAGGCCTGCTATCTAGAATATATAAAGAAATTTTTAAAAACAGACCTCTCAAATTTAAAGACCCAGTCCAAAAGTGGACATCTGAAATGAACAGACATTTCTCAGACAAAGAAGTAGAAATAGCAAATAAGCATATGAAAAAATGTTCAAAATCACTGGTCATTCGAGAGATGCAGATGAAAACAATGCTGAGATTCCACCTCACCCCAGAAAGAATGGCTGCTACCATGAAATCAACCAATAACAAATGCCGGCAGGGCTATGGGGAAAGAGGAACACTGCTCCACTGCTGGTGGGAGTGTCGACTGGTGCAACCACTGTGGAAATCAGTATGGAGATACCTCAAAGAACTAGGACTGGAAGTCCCATTTGACCCAGCTATTCCCCTGCTGGGTATATTCCCCAAAGAATTAAAAGAATCATACCACAGTGATATATGTACACCCATGTTCATAGCAGCACAATTTGTAATAGCTAAAACTTGGAAGCAGCCCAATTGCCCATCAACTAGAGACTGGATAAAGAAAATGTGTTTTTTTTCTAAAATGGAGCACTACTAAGCCATAAAAGATGAGAAACTAGAGACATTTATAGCTAAATGGATGCACATTGAGGTGATTCATTTAAGTGAAATAAGTAGGACACACATGTGTAAATACCAAATAGTTTCTCTAGTGCAAGAAACTGAAAGTGTAAATAAGGACTAAAAGGTATAATAGATAATGTGAAATAGGAAGAAAAGGGGCAAAGGCGAAGGGGAAGTGGGAGGGGTAGGGGAAAGGAAAGAAGGGAATGGAATTAGTATGAGAAAATGAAAAAATGGAAACAAAATCTTTGTAAATAGGGAGGGATGGAGGGGTTGAAGGGAGAGCAGGGGAATGGGAAAAAAATAAGAACCAAGAGAGATGTAAAGGTGCAAATTTCCAATGATGAATGTCATTATATTATATACCTAAAATGTACCAATAAAATTAATTTAAAAAAAATAAAAATAAAACTGCAGTTCAAATGTGCTATACCAATTATAACTATTCTCCGTGGCTTCCAAACTTGGCTGCCAGTTCTATTAGTCTTCTGAGTCAGTGGAAGCAGATACTAGTCCCTCAGCCAATCCCCAGACTAACTGGAATACTGAATTCACAGACTCCTCTTTTCTATCC